CGCAAGGTACTGGTCCGACTGCTGGAAAATGATCTTTATGCCAAGGCAGAGAAGTGTGTTATTCCAGCAGTCAATCTCCTTCCTCGGATATCGCATTACTACCACAGGTGTGGAGATGGAGGGAGATCGCATTTCAGCCGTGCGTAATTGGCAGACTCCAACCACGGTGAAGGAGGTGCAGCGCTTCCTTGACTTTGCCAACTACTATCGGAGGTTTATTCGGGGCTTTGGCAAGGTCGCAGCTCCCATTACCTCCTTGTTGAAGGGTGGGCCGTCCCGGCTTCGCTGGTCTGCTGAGGCTGATTTGGCCTTCAGTAGATTGCGGGGTCTGTTCACCTCCGCCCCGGTACTGGCTCACCCCGATCCATCACTACCGTTCATAGTGGAGGTGGATGCTTATCCCAACGCTCGGGCACGCCACCCAAGCTCCGCCCCTGTGCCTTCTTTTCGAAGAAGCTCAGCTCGGCGGAGCAAAACTACGGCATTGGTGATCGGGAACTGCTGGCTGTTGTCCGAGCCTTTACCATGTGGAGGCATTAGCTCGAAGGGGCAAAACACCCTTTCCTCGTCTGGACGGACCACCGTAACCTGGAGTACATTCGGGCAGCGAGGAGGCTGAATCCTCGCCAGGCCAGGTGGGCCCTCTTCTTCACCCGGTTTGATTTCACACTCTCATACATTCCGGGTATGAAGAATGTGAAGGCAGACGCACTGTCTCGGCTGTATGACACAGAGGAGAGGCCCAGAGACAATACCCCCATACTCCCAGCCTCATGCATTGTGGTGCCGGTAGTATGGGCGATGGACGCGGATAAAGCGCAGGCATTATGCACAGATCCATCTCCACCGCAGTGTCCAGCTGGGCTGCAGTATGTGCCTGCGCTTATCCGTGATCGTCTGATCTACTGGGCACACACGTCACCCTCCTCTGGTCATCCAGGTATCGGTCGTACAATGCGCTACCTGAAGTACTGGTGGCCTACCTTGGCTAAGGACGTGAGGGTGTATGTTTCCTCCTACTCAGTGTGCGCTCAGAGTAAGGCACCTAGGCACCTCCCAGCAGGTAAGCTACAACCTTTACCAGTTCCACAATGACCATGGTCTCACCTTAGTATTGATTTTCTTACTGATCTTCCCCTCTCCCAAGGTAACACCACTATCCTGGTCGTTGTGGATCGCTTTTTGAAGTCCTGCTGCCTCCTTCCTCTGCCCGGTCTCCCCACGGCTCTACAAACTGCGGAGGCTCTATTTACTCATGTCTTCCGGCACTACGGGGTACCAGAGGATATAGTGTCCGACCGAGGTCCCCAGTTCACATCTAGAGTCTGGAAGGCGTTCATGGAACGTCTGGGGGCCTCGGTCAGCCTGACCTCTGGATTTCACCCCGAGAGTAATGGGCAGGTGGAAAGGGTGAATCAAGATGTGGGTAGGTTCCTGCGGACCGGCCGGGGGAGTGGTCGGTGTTCCTGCCATGGGCAGGTTATGCTCAGAACACTCTCCACCACTCCTCCACTAACCTAACACCCTTCCAATGTGTTTTGGGTTACCAACCGGTCCTGGCACCGTGGCACCAGAGCCAGACCGAGGCTCCTGCGGTGGATGACTGGTTTCGGCGCGCGGAGGAGACTTGGGACGCTGCTCACGTTCGCATCCAGTGTGCCATGCGTCATCAGAATGCAAATACTGACCGCCTCCACAGGGAGGCCCTGGTTTTCGTACCGGGGGATCGGGTCTGGCTCTCGACCCGGAATCTACCCCTCCGCCTGCCCTGCCGGAAGCTGAGCCCGCGGTTTGTGGGGCCGTTTAAAGTCCTGAGGAGGATAAACAAGGTTACATACAGGTTGTTACTCCCCCCAATTACCGTATTAACCCCTCGTTTCATGTGTCTCTCCTCAGGCCGGTGGTAGCTGGTCTGCTCTAGGAGTCTGAGGTGCGGGAGGTTCCTCCACCTCCTCTGGACATCGAGGGGGCCCCGGCGTACTCGGTAAGTTCCATACTGGATTTGAGGCGTCGGGTGTGGGGCCTTCAGTATCTCGTGGAGTGGGAGGGGTACAGTCCGGAGGAACGGTGCTGGGTCCCAAGGAGGGATATCCTCGATCCCTCCCTGTTGAGGGATTTCCACCGTCGCCATCCGATTCGCCCTGCTCTGTGTCCTCCTGGCCGTCCCCGAGGCCGGGGTCGGCGCACTGCTGGAGCCGCGCGTCAAGGGGGGGGGGGGGGGGGGGGGGGGGCGGCGGTACTGTCACGACTTCCGCCAAGGCTGCCTCCCCTCCTTGTTCAGGCAGGTTTCGGCATTCGTGGTCACCGGCTTACTAGCTACTGCCGATCCCATTCTCATCACTCCACTTGTCATGTCTTGTCTTGTCAATCACACACACCTGGTGCTCATTCCCCTAATTAGTATGTGTATAGGTGTTCCCTCTGTTCCCCTTGTCTTTGTGAGTGATTGTTTCTTTGTGAGAGCAAGTAGCTCGGTTGAGCTACTCTTCCATTTGTTATTGCCAAGGTGGAATATTTCCCTTGTGATAGTTTCGTTTTGACGCTTGGTGCGTTTTATTTATGTAAACAGAATAAACTCTGGACTTCAGTGTTTTACCTCCTGCGCCTGACTCCTTCATTCACACCTCATCACACATTATCTGTTTTTTTTTACATGAAACTGCTTGTTCACAGCAATAAGGGATTTTGGTCAAAATACCAGTGAATCAAGATATAGACGTTAAGATAAGAGAAGATGAAGTGTGCTGTCCTCATAAGAAAAAAACCAGGCATACAACTGGGGGAAGACTTTTTCCTGAGGCATACAGTTCCACTATAACCAATGAGTCATGACATATGAGCAACATATAATGTATCAACCCAGAAGCTCCTTTTCAACCTAATTCCCCTCGGATCCCGCTATACTGTAGTCTATGAATCAGTCCATGGATTGCACCTGGCTGAGAATAGTGACTAAGCTCATAGCAGCGACAGGGGACCACTTCATTATCTCACATGTCACAGTATTGATAGATATGATCTCCTCATGTTTCACTGCTCATTGCTGTGTTGTTTGTGAGGAAGATTCACACTCGCCTGTCCATCACTTCCAATAAGGCATTGTCCATTGTCCTCTCAGGCTAAATACGTACATTATACAAGACCAGTCACACTTCAATTTCTCAAGAATGGGTTTGGGTGTCTTAAAGGGGCATTCCGGGATTGGTACATTCGTTTTTAGACTTGTAAATGAATTAAATATAGCCATTGATTCTTGAAGAAAAAGAAACAAATATAAGAAAAAACAGTGTATCAATAATGTGCTATGTTTTTAGTATTAATGTCATAATATAACAATATACATCTCAAGGTAAAAATCCCCTAGTATGCGACAACAGATTGTGTTGCTCTGAACAAAGTTCAGTACTCTGACCAAAGTCCATAGGAAATGATTTAGAAATGTTCAGATGACAGCAATATCTGTCAGCGATGTCTCAAGTCCTCTGGCAATATCAGTCCTCTGTCATCAGTCATTTTCATGTTGCCATTCTCACTAACTCTATTTAACAGTGCATAGAAAGAAGCATATATTGCGACATAGAATGCTTTCACACATATAAATAAGGACACACGACAGCACCCACAGACTTTCACACGTACAAAACAACATTTCCTGCATGCACAAATACTCTGCAATAAATTAGTGTATCTGTGTTGATAGGCAGATGTTAACTCTATGGTGGTGCCACTTTTACAGCCTCTGTTTGTTTTGTGTGCGGTGTAATAAAGTAGGAAAATCAGAGACCAGAGTCCAGCTCACGCACACACACACACACACACACACACACACACACACACACACACACACACACACACACACACACACACACACACACACACACACACACACACACACACTCACATGCAGCAGCAAACACTGTGGGAGGCCTAGGAGGGTGGCCACACTCACTGTGTGGGAGTCAATTACCACTAAGTCATTCCCCTCTCTCTGTCTGTAAATTACTGTAAAAGTAGTTGAATTTCAATGTTTTGAGAGCCTTTTGAGGAGAAGAGATGTCGTTTGTGTAAAGGAGCTGTGCTGCCACAGAACTGAAATATATTATGCAAACTGTCTCAAAAGCGTACTTCCATTAGCTTTTCAAATTCACACATGTAAATTGTTAGATATTAGACAGATCAGCTTTCTATCAATTTGTTTCAATATCCTGGTCACTGTGTAAATGGGTACAGTATACTACACTCTTAGAAAAAAGGGTTCCAAAAGGGTTCTTCAGCCATCCCCATAGGAGAACCCTTTTTGGTTCCAGGTGGAACCCTTTTTGGTTCCTCTGTGGAGAGGGTTCTAAATGGAACCCAAAAGGGTTCTTCAAAGGGTTCTCCTACGGGGACAGCCGACAAACCCTTTTAGCTTCTAGAAAAAAGCACATTTTTTTCTAAGAGTGTAGGCCCTACTTGCATGTAAAACATCCTACATTAACACAGACCCACAACTCTCCCATCCCATGTACATGTACACACCACACATTATACCAGCCTGGGAGGCAGACAATGGTGATCCTCTCTGTAACTCCAGAGGACTTAGATATAATGTCAGGGCTAGCCCATCCTTATCAGTCTCCCATAAGGTCATGTCCCTCACTCCCTTCCCCTCTGCTCAACTGAAAAGACTCACGCTGCCTGCTCTGAGACAGTAGAGAAAGGACCCCCACAGCCTTAGTAAAGTTTACTTTGGTGACAGTGACACGCAGGCATGCACACACACACACACACACACACACACACACACACACACACACACACATACACACGCACACACGCACACACACACTGTTTGTCCCTGATGGCCCAGGTGAGTGGTAAACCTGGCTGGCTCTCCTCCCCACCGCCTCCGCACCCTACCCTGACCTTAGACTGTAGAAGAGATGTCGCTCTGTGCCTCTGATAACATGGACTGGCTTAATGTTTAGCCTAGGGTCTAAACACACACACACACATAGACACAAAGAGGCAGACCGGGAAGCAGTATAAAAGGCAAAGTCACCACAGAGACAAACACGGCTCAGGGATGGAGTCAGGAACACTACATGTAAGGAGGGTACTAGGCGGTAAAACTTTGGGTGAGTAATTGAGTCATTTTGGGAGTAAATTGGTTTTATAGGATTGCATTGTTATCACAATTAATTTCAAATAACAACCATGACTATCAGCTAATCAATGTGTTACAGTGGACCTACAGCCATATATTTTTCTATGCTGAAATAAAACTAGTTCAGTATTTTCCTAAGCTGGGGCTATTACAGTAACAGCCTGATCCACAATAATTACAGATAGTCAATTGTTTGATTGTTAAATGAAGAACAATATGCTCTATAGACCATAACAATGCTGACATAGTATAAGCAAAGTTCTTAAACAGCATGGAATATCATAGAGACTTTTAATAGGAAAGCATGTATTGAAATCGTCTGTGTTTCCCCCGTGAGTCAACAGAAGACAAAGGTTATTGACTTGCACCCCACTCCCCAACGTCAAAAATATTTTCACGACACTCCCCTTTTACAGTAAAAAAGAAATGTGCACACCCTCCCCTTTATCCTCACAGAATTAACTCAAAACAATGTTTATGACCACAACAATAACTGTAGTGACCCTGTGTTTATAAACGTGGATATCGTCTTTGCCACTTCAGCATGCTTTTGTGGCACAGTCGATGCCATGCAGAGCTACAGGCCAGAAGGTTGTGGGTTCGCAGACCACCACAGACAAGCTAACTCTCCCTGCCTGTTTCATCAACACTACGATCAGAGTCGGCTGCAGACAATGATCAGCTAGGTAGAAATCAGATTTTCAAAATGTTTATGCAATATTTATAATTATATAAAATATATGTAATTCATTTTCCACCAACAGGTTTCTGTGCCAATGCACCACACAACCAATGCACCAAGCATACCGACTTTGTGCACTTCAACATCATGGTTTGCGTTTTCAACACCACAATCAAATAGACTATTGTCAATCTCGACAAACAGAACATAGGCCTACATCCCTCCCTACCTTGTAGGCCTACCCAGTAGCAAAGGATTGGCTTGACAATCTCTGAATGTCATTACACTTTTTGGTGTTTTGTAATCAAATGGCCGCTGCACAGTTTGGATGCTGGAATTATATTTTGGACGAACGTGCGCAGGTAGCCTACAGGAGACTTTTGAATTAGCCTAATCAGATTAAAACATTGTGACTGTTTGTGTTTATGCCACACATAAAAGGTAATACATTAAAAAAGTTAAACGACAAATATAGGCTATATTGAAGCGTAAGTTTGTAGGTGAGCGAGGAATAGCCGCTCGGATCGGAGAGGAGGCAGAGCGCATTAAGTTTTCCTGAATAACTGGGCCTGCTGGGAGCACGTGGCCACATTATTATAGGACGACTTGGGAGAATGATGATCTGCAACAGACAGCGCATTCAGTATCAGAAGTACAAATACAGCCAGACTGGCCTGCTACTCTGCCTTTCTAGACCTTATAAGCTGTCAAGAGTAGACCCACAACTGATCTAAATGGAATGCAATATTCAAATCACAGGGCTTTTGCGCCATTATTCAAATGATATCTTCACTTCTGTTTACAGCCTTGGTGCAGCTTTGAATGATGTTACATGTGGTATGGTTCGAATCCATATGGTCTCCTGGTTCGAATCCAGGCTCTGTCGTAGCCGGACGCGACCGGGAGACCCATGGGGCGGCGCACAATTGGCCCAGCATCGTCCAGGGTAGGGGAGGGAATGGCCGGCAGGGATGTAGCTCAGTTGGTAGAGCATGGCATTTGCAACGCCAGGGTTGTGGGTTCGATTCCCACGGAGAGGTATGAAAAAAATAAAATAATAATAATGTATGCACTCACTAACTGTAAGTCGCTCTGGATAAGAGCGTCTGCTAAATGACTAAAAATGTAAAAAATGTAAATGTATGATGCTAGTTAGCCTATTGGACAAACGATCCACCTACCACTATTGTCACTATGAATGGTGGATAGAGGGCAGGATAGGTAGACTATATTGACCTGTGGTATAGTTAGCGCCCGGAATAGCGTAGTGCATAAGGGAAGTACCAAAACATCTTGATATAGGGGAGGCGCATGCAAGCAGATGAGGAAATTTGCCTAAGATGGAATAAATGATATAGGAAAACCTGCAAATGGGCAAATGCAAACCAGGGAAAAAACATTATATTCAACATTCACACTCATCATCTTCAGAGGTGGTTTTCTTCCTCTTTAGCTGATGGTACAATGAGGAAGTCTACCAAGTGAGAAAGATATTTAAAATAGCTTCCCTTATCTCAGTAGCCCGCCACATGGCTGGGTTTGCAGGGTAATGGATGGGGTTACAAATACAGTAGTAAGCATATAACTATTATGTATAACTATGGTGCCTTCGGAAAGTATTCAGACCACTTGACTTTACACATTTTGTTACGTTACAGCCTTATTCTAAAATTGATTCAATTGTATTATTTTTTTTCCTGACCAAGACCCTTCTCCCCCGATTGCTCAGTTTGGCCGGACGGCCAGCTCTAGGAAGAGTCTTGGTGGTTCCAAACTTCTTCCATTTAAGAATGATGGAGGCACTGTGTTCTTGGGGACCTTCATGCTGCAGACATTTTTTGGTACTCTTCCTCAGAGCTCTACGGACAGTTCCTTCGACCTCATGGCTTGGTTTTTGCTCTGACAGTCACTGTCAATTGTGGGACCTTATATGGACAGGTGTGTGCCTTTCCAAATCATGTCCAATCAATTGAATTTACCACAGGTGGACTCCATTCAAGTTATAGAAACATTTCAAGGATGATCAATGGAAACAGGATGCACCTGAGCTCAATTTCGAGTCTTAGAGCAAAGGGTCTGAATACTTATGTAAATAAGATATTTCTGTTTTTTATTTTTAATACATTTGCAAAAATTCTAAAAACCTGTTTTCACTTTGTCATTATGGGGTATTGTGTGTAGATTGCTGAGTATTATTATTTTTTTTAGAATACGGCTGTAACGTAACAAAATGTAGAAAAAGTCAAGGGGTCTGAATACTTTCCGAAGGCACTGTATATAATTTTACTCGTAGAATATTTATTGAGTGTATTCTTACAAGCATTTAGTAAAGAGCAAACTTTACTGGGTGTAAAGGTCACACTGGGTGTAAGGGTTAAACACAAGTTGATGATGTAACTAGTGGAAATGATTGTCCTTCTCGATCTGACAACTGAGTTTTTTTGCCTTGTGAACCTGCTCTCAAAATGAAATTTCTAATATTGCATAACTAAATAGTTATCATACTTTAGGTATCACAGAGCTGCAACTGAAAATGAAGACAAGCATAGTGAACCATCTCAAACCATCCCATTTGGACATGATAATAAATCATGAAGACAACAGAGGATAAAGAAACATAAATGTGACAGAGATTAATAGAGTTGTCTCCTGATATGCACTGGCATGGGTCTATGACTATGTGCATTAAGCCAGAGCATGCAGATATACAGTATGGAGCAAGTATTTTGTGAGACTGATTAACTGCTCTGTGTTGCATAATCCTGTAACTGTATGTGTGACGCTGTGCACTCATCACTCATCATCGACTGTACTGTCTGGACAGTTGAGAAATACTTTATGGCATGCGACAAGTGTTGATCTTCTCTTTCTGTGACAGAGGCTGGTGATGACGAGGAGGCCTCACCAGAGCGGGTGACCCATCGTCCCCTGTCCCCTCTGGCCCGCCTCTATGTCTACGCCCTGCACGGCTGCCTGTGTGAGGTGGGCTTCACTGCTATATGGGACTGGTGGGAGACCAAGGACAGGAGGCTGGCAGGACACACCAGCCTTTGGGCCCTCCCGATGTACGCCTTGGCCATCTTCCTCATAGAGGGCCTGCGTGGCAGGCTGTTGGCCCAGCACTGCCCCCTGATGCTGCGGATGCTGGTCTACACCCTGTTCATCTACATGTGGGAGTTTAGCTGGGGCGTGGTGCTGAGGTTGCTAGGAGCCTGTCCATGGGACTACTCTGGGTTTAGCTATAACCTGGCAGGGCTGGTGACTCTGGAGTACGCCCTGCCCTGGGCCTTGGCCTCACTTATAGCAGAGCAACATGTCATCAGAAATACTCTGAGAGTACGACTGACTAACTGACGCTCTGTAGAGGATGACCAAGTCATACAGTCTCACATACATCCTATTATATACACAGCATACTTAAGCAATAAGGACTGCCTGGACACAGCCCTTAGCCGTGGTATATTGGCCATATACCACAAACCCCCAAGGTGCCTTATTGCTATTATAAACTGGTTACCGACGTAATTAGAGCAGTAAAAATAAATGTTTTGTCATACCGGTGGTATACGGTCTGATATACCACGGCTGTCAGTTAATCAGCATTCAGGACAAGAACCACCTAGTTTATAAATAGAAACACACCATGTCACATTGACAGTGTCCTCACATACCCTTAATATACTGTCAACATGGTAATACCGGCAAGCATTTTTACTGAGGGCAACATCTGTGGGGGTTTTAGCAGTCTTGGTGTTGAAACAATTTTGAAAACAATTTCACATGTCCCAAAATTGCACAACATTGGGGTTTCTTTGAAATGTACTCTAGGATACTTAAGAGTGCGGTTAGTCCATTGCCATGGCAGCAAATAACAATTGCACTATCAAGCGTTAAATGAGGCAAGCTGGAACATTTACGTCATTTAGCAGACGCTCTTATCCAGAGCGACTTACAGTTAGTGAGTGCATACATTTTTTCATACTGGCCCCCCGTGGGAAACGAACCCACAACCCTGGCGTTGCAAGCGCCATGCTCTACCAACTGAGCTACAGGGGACTTAATGTATCACTCATCTGCTCTGTGGGCAGTACACTATTCTGGGAAGAGAACCTACCGTAGGGCCACTGTAATGTCACAAACCTACACATAGCATTCAGTTGAACAACCTATGTACTGTTCAAACATGCTAAGGATCAAAGGCCTCATATAAAAAATATAATAAAATTGTAGGTCCATCAAATATCTAGACTAACGTTTAGTGACTTGCTGATTTCTATTTTATTCTGCTATCTTACATACATCAGGTTTGGACTACAGATAAATAATAGGAGTTCTTCTGAACTCTGGGGTTAACTTGGTGTTGTTAAATTAATCTAATGCAGTGTTGCATCAATGGAAGATAAAAGTCATGCTCCAGTGTGTAGTTTACATGAAGGGAAGTATTACAGTCCCCTGTAGCTCAGTTGGTAGAGCATGGCGCTTGCAACGCCAGGGTTGTGGGTTCATTTACCACGGGGGGCCAGTATGAAAATGTATGCTCTCACTAACTGTAAGTCGCTCTGGATAAGAGCGTCTGCTAAATGATATAAATGTATTACAGGAAGTATGTGTGAACTTCCTCAAAACCGCCCTGACTGCTGGGAAGTGCTAACTAGACCATTTCAAATTAAATGAATTGGAAACATGCAGATGTTATTGCGAAGTGCTTCTAGTTCTGACAGTGCAGCAATATCTAGCAAGTCATATCTAACAGTTCCACAACAAAAACCTAATACACACAAATTTAAGTAAAGGAATGGAATAAGAATATATAAATATATGGATGAGCAATGTCATTATCAAAGTGGCATAGGCTGAGATGCAATAGATAGTATAGAATACAGTATATACATATGAGACGGGTAATGTAAGATATGTAAACATTATTAAGATAGAATAGAATACAGTTAATACATATGAGATGGGTAATGCAAGATATGTAAACATTATTAAGATAGAATAGAATACAGTTAATACATATGAGATGGGTAATGCAAGATATGTAAACATTATTAAAGTGGCATTATTAAAGTGACTAGTGTTCCCTTTATTAAAGTGGCCAGTGATTTTCAATTCTGTATGTAGGCAGCATCCTCTCTGTGCTAGTGATGGCTGTTTAACAGTCTGATGGCCTTGAGATAGAAGCTGTTTTTCAGTTTCTCGGTCCCAGCTTTGATGCACCTGTACTGTCCTCGCACGCTTACACTCTGGGTTTTGAGTGACAAACAGGGAAATGCTACCCTGCACTGGTACCTTCAGCATAGGAATTAGACAAACACAAAGTTAAACCGATTCCTCTACCAAACCACAAAATAATAGCATCTACTGCAGGGTTCTTCAATTCCGGTCCTGGAGGGCCGAAACACTTCTGTTTTTTATTTCTACCTGGTAGTTGATTGCACTCACCTGGTGTCCCAGGTCTGAATTAGCCCCTGATTAGAAGGAGAGGATGAAAAACAGAGGTGTTTTGGCCCTCCAGGACCGGAATTGAAGAACCCTGATCTACTGTATGAATGACAGACAGTCTAACCTCTTTCTTCTTGTGTTACTTGAATTCAACATTCTTTCTCTAAAGCCATTTTGTATTGGGGCCATTCACAAACATGCACATATCCCCTCTATCTTCTGTTTCCTTTTCTTATTACCACACTCATAATCCCACTCACTGGCTATGTCCAGGAATGAGTAGACTGTCTCCTGTGGACAGAGGGAACTCTTGGCCATCCAGAGTCACATGGGGGGATCCCTCCTGAGAGAGGAAGAGAGGTTGAGAGAGAAAGTGCAAATAGACAGAAGGAAGCAGAGAGAGGGAAAGGAAAAGAGAGAAATACCACAAATGTAAATAAATACTGAAGGCATGATGACGTGACAGAAATGCAAATTCTCTAATAGATTAGTAATAGGAGACATACTGTACCTGCTGCCATATCCAGACATCAGTTTCTCGTTTACAAACCTCTGATTGCCTGGGTCCATACAGCATGGTCTGTCACAGAGTAGTAGGAGTAACATCATCATCACCACCATCACCACAATCATCATATCATCACTATCACCACCACCATCATCATCCTCATCATCTATACACTCACTAGTCTGATAAACAGACCTATAGCTCACTTCCCTCCTACTACACTAATGAGCAACATAATCCAGAGCAATTTACTGTATATTAAACTTTCAATATTAGCAAGTCATGAGTTTGAATCAGGGGGAGCTCAGTCTAGACTGGTCGTTGATCGCTTGAAAGGTTTCAATCAACGTAAAAGGTCAACAAATAGCTAAGTCATCATTGGGATATTCCAGTGTCACCTCTGTCTCAAACTGGGCCCTGAACATGTCGATGGGGTGTCCGCTGGCCAGGGAGGGCCGCTGTTTTTCCACTCAGTCTCTGAAGTGGAAGGGGGTCATCACATGCAAGGTGTTTATGTGGAAGGGAGGCTGTCTGAAGACCTCATCTAGACAGTCAGAGACAGGAATAGCACACAGTGTGATACGATAGCACATAAAAGATAGCACATAGGCCAACAGGGCTCTTGTGTAGTGGGATACACTCACACAGATAAATATCCACAAACCCGATTTAAAACCACACAAAAATAAAAGGTGGGCAGATCCGGACATATGATACATAATGCATTTTCATTCAGTAGAGTGCAAAACCTATTGAAGCCCACCTTTTCCATTGTCACTTTGTGAGAGGGGGAGTCGCCTGGGTTTGGCTTGCCTGTTTCGTGCTTCTCCGACGCAATAAACCTGAGAACCACAGCATCAGCTGAGTATTCACTGCTGAGCACTAATGTTCACTAAAGAAAGTGTTCTGTTTAATGCCAGACTAAAATCAATGATATACGTCTCACTCTTGAATCACTGGCACCAGCTGGGTCCTCAGGTTTTCACAGTAAGACCGTCTCTCAAAAAGGATGTCTGTAGTGTCATCCATATAGTACCCGAAACCACGAAGAGCCATGATTTACTACACACTCTCTCTTTCTCTCTCTCCACTCTCTCCCTCCTTGCTATCTCTTGTAAGGGTGTCAATGAGAAGGGGCTGTGAGATGTGAAGATGGATGAGTTGTGTGTAAGAGGAGTGAGATATAGGTAAAGGAGAAGAAGAAATGGTGGATGGTGGTACCTTAAACAGTCTGTCTCTGAATGAAGCCTCCTTCTCTCCACCACCAGCCCCACAGTGTTATCCAGTCTCTGGGGGGAGAGGGGGATCTGAGCTGGTAGCAGAAACATCTGAGGACCAGAGATGGACACAGGTGGACATGGGGTGTGTGTGACACAAACACAAACCTAAGAAATCTGCATAGTTTGTTATGGTACTAATACTTATGTTAAACAGTCGGCTTGGCAAGATAAGCTTGGAATAAATGTAGTTTCTCTCACCAGTGCCTCGTGGATATGCACATCCTTATGTTTACCATTCTCTACCACCTTCAGACACATGTCCCCTTTCACCTAGTAGAGCTGCACAAAACAAGACAGGGAGAGGACATGACAGTGAAAAGCAATGACTACGGACTAGAGAAAACAGATACATCATATGGAGGATATCTTCAGCTTCACATCACATTCAAGTGCTCACTAAGATATGAATGTGCTTATGCTGACCTCCAGTGGCTAGATTATGTTATTGAAAATGCAAGTACAATCCTCTGTTTTGTAAATACACTGAGTGCACAAAACATTTTCCATGACATAGACTGACCAGGTGAATCCTGATCCCTTATTGATATTACCTGTTAAATCCACTTCAATCATTGTAGATGAAGGGGAGGAGACAGGTTGAAGAAGGATTTTTAAGCCTTGAGACAGTTGAGACATGGATTGTGTATGTGTGCCATACAGAGGGTGAATGGACAAGACAAAATATTTTAAGTGCCTTTGTTGAACGGGGTATGGTAGTAGCTGCCAGGCGCACCGGTTTGAGTGTGTCAAGTACAGCAACGCTGCTGGGTTTTTCACACTCAACAGTTTCCCGTGTGTATCAAGAATGGTTCACCACCCAAAGGACATCCAGCCAACTTGAACTTGACACAACTATGGGAAGCATTGGGGTCAACAGCCAGCATCCTTGTGGAACACTTTTGACACCCCGACGAATTGAGGCTATGCTAAGAGCAAAAGGGGGTGCAACTCAATATTAGGAAGGTGTTCCTAATGTTTAGTACACTCAGTGTATAAAGTCTTTAAATAGCCTAAATAAGTCTTATAAGTCTTATATCGCATACATAATATCTCTTAGTCATTTGAATACCCATTTTCTGCAAGTGCTTGCGATATCATTCCTATGCAATATCCCTATCTGAAAGTAAGCAACTGATGCAAGGACACTACCATGCTAGTTAGTTAGCAATCAGTCAGCCACAATATAATCTTTCCTGACCCATGTGCCTAACCTTCTCACATAAACTCAGTCAGTAGCTTAGCCAATGGTCACACAACAATCAAGAACATCATTCAATCATTTGCCACAGTATTTGGCCAATGTCATAGGTGAATGGTGGCATTTTATCTTAACTCCTCCCCTTCCTCTATGTTGTAGTCATTTCTGGAGTAGGGACCTCCAACAAACATGATGTTCAGCTGATGAAAATGCCTAGCGGAGAAAGAAAATATGAAAGCATGCACTTTGCTCACATTCATTACCTTTGTCAATCTTTGCCAACATAGTGTGAATCATTACTATTTGACTACTAAAGATAGTCAGGGGGTAAACAGTACTTTTTTACAGCTCAACATGATAATAACATGGTCCCATTTTAAAATAACAACAAATGCTTCATAGAAGCTTATAGAAGATTTGTGAAGCATCTATGCTCTGCTTGTGAATACTTTATATTAAGCCTTTATAAGTTATAGTTCGTTTAGTGAATAACACAGTTATTACAAATCTAACGACACCAGAGTGTGCAACTAAAACTGAAACTGTCTATAAATGAAATTAGCACAGACTGCTACTCACTGGTGGTAGAAAGGCCTTTTCATTCTCTGCAATCCATTTGTCCACGTTCACAAGAAGTGGTTTCTCACTCATTATTGCAAAGTGATGTGAAAATTGTAACTGAAAAAAATTACACTTTGTGTATTGAATCACATAGTTCTGTGTGTTTTTTCGGTTTCAGAGAGCCTGAAAGTCCAAAATACAGAAGTGGGATAACTCGGGGAGGAGTCCAGTGTGATCGGTGAAAGGTTGCTTACATTCCCACAATAAGTAAATTAGTGTGGGCGGTCATATAAAACCAAACAAACTTGTCAGTAAAGTGATGGAGAGAAGTAATGAGGGGACGAGGGGTGCACATGTTAATGAGTAGGAGGGAAGCAGGAATCATGTTAAAATTAGCACTGCAGTTTCTGCATTATAAAAGGTACAATTAAATTTTTTATTGACTGTACATGTACTGTATGTTCGAACCAATAGCCTACTGTTTTATTGGCTGAGGTCATCACCATAAAAAACCCTTATTTTACCACTTACCACTTATCACAACATCAGCAGGACAAAGGAGCTGATCGTGGACTACAGGAAACAGAGGGCCGAGCAAGCCCCCATCCACATCGACTGGGCTGTAGTGGAGTGGGTCGAGAGCTTCAAGTTCCTCGGTGTCCACATCACTAAGGAATTAACATGGTCCACACACACCAAAACAGTCGTGAAAAAGGCACAACAACGCCTCTTCCCCCTCAGGAGGCTGAAAAGATTTGGCATGGGCCCTCAGATCCTCAAAAAGTTATACAGCTGCACAGTTGAGAGCATCTTGACTGGCTGCATCACCGCCTGGTATGGCAACTGCTTGGCATCCGAGCGTAAGGCGCTACAGAGGGTAGTGCATACAGCCCAGTACATCACTGGGGCCCAGCTTCCTGCCATCCAGGACCTCTATAGCAGGCGGTGTCAGAGGAAGGCCCTAATAATTGTCAAAGACTCCAGCCACCCATAGACTGTTCTCTCTGCTACTGCACGACAAGCGGTACTGATGCACCAAGTCTGGAACCAACAGGACCCTGAACAGCTTCTACCGCCAAGCCATAAGACTGCAAAATAGTTAAGCAGATAGGGCACCCGGACTATCTGCATTGACCCCCTTTTGTACTAACTCGTCTGACTCATCACATACGCTGCTGCTACTCCTCATTATCTATCCTGTTGCCTAGTCGCTTTACCCTTACCCATATGTACATATCTACCTCAATTACCTTGTACCCCTGCACATGGACTAGGTACTGGTACGCTGTGTATATAGCCAAGTTATAGTTACTCATTGTGTATTTATTCCTCAAGTTATTATTTATCTTTTTTTCTCTCTGCATTGTAAGCATTTCACTGTTACTCTACACCTGTTGTTTTTGAAGCATGTGACAAATAAAATTGTATTTGATTTTGATTAGATCTAAAAGGTGCATAAGGACATACTTTCCTACTATCAGCTCTTACTGTCTGGGTCCAGAGTGATGACACACAACCATGGTGATGACATCAGAGGCCAGGGCTCTGTAAGATGAATAGGGCAACCCCCTCAGCCCACCTCCACTGGTAACTAAGAAATAAACAATATACTTTATGATTTCTCTTTTACTTTCTCATACACTAGCTAATTCCTGTATTCTATAGCAAACTCACTCACTGGCTGTGACCAGGTTATGATCGGACTATCCTGTAGACAGAGGGACTCTTGAGTTATAGGAAGACCTCTCCTGAGGGAGGAGGAAAGGGTGAGAGGTAGAAAGAGAGAGAGAGAAATGTGAGCAAAGTAGGCATAACAGCCCTAGTAGTTGAGAAATGTTGATAGGGTCATACATGCGTGGGGAAGACACATACCAGCTGCATATCCACATATCAGTTTCTCTTCTCATCCCCTCAGTCTCTCGTGGCCCATAGAGAAGGGTCTGTCATAGGAAGAGCAGGGCAATATGGCATCATCATCTTCACACACTCTCCAATAATAAACGTCCTGTTTCTCACAGATTTTACGGTAGAGTAGTGTACAGTATCTAATCAAGCCTCAGGTGGACTAAAGAGCAGTTTCTCACAGTTTCCTTTCCCATCAATGTGTTAATGAGCTCCATCTCTCCAGACTACATTCCCTCTCTGTCGATATCCTGGAGCTTGGCAGGAGCCACAGTCTGCTGGGAGCTCAGTCGAGACATGTATTTGTGAAATCAGGTTTGTTCTTACTAATCTGCCTCCTTGGAGAGGAAGGTCATGTGACAGATTTATCTCCTAAGCATATGTTAAAGATGGCTGCTACCTATGTTAAAGATCCATCCCTCCCTCCCTCCCTCTCTCCCTGCATCTATCCATCCATGATTCATCCATCCATTCAATCCATCCAGATACAAGACAGATGATTGATAAAGTTAGTGGATAGATGATAATGATCTCAATTCATGTTGTCAAGTATGGTTGTTGACATGTTGAATTGTGATCCTCCAATAAACTAGCCCTATCATACAGGTCTAGACTAGCAGTGTTTTTCATTCAGTTTACAATGTTAACATAACCATGCTACAATAAAACAATGGGTTCTTTTCCGATAATAGATTATTATACACAGGCAAAAATGCATCATGTTAAAGAGGGTAGACAGAAGAAAAGGTACATGGTTAGTCAACATAGAGGGGGGAAGTAGTTTGGGGGGGGTGGTGCTGCAGGACTAATATAGGACTAGTAAAGGCCCAGTGCACTAAACTAAATGTATTTGTATTTGAGTGTTTACCAGCATTTGTAACTTGAGTCTGATAATTATCTGTACAAAACAGTTAATCTGATAATACTTATGGAATATAAAAACACTTGATATATGTTTTCCAGTTTCTTGAAATACTTTGCAAATGCAACGTATTACTATGTGAAGACTATTCATTTGTTTTAGTAGACAGTCTTATCCAAAGCAACTTACAGTAGTGAGTGCTTACATTTCATACTTCTCTGTATTGGTCCTACTGGGAATTGAACACACAACCCTAGTGTTGGAACCATCATGCTCTACCAACTGAGCCACATCATCACATCACAGCATCACAAACCACATGATGTCTCAATGTACTCAATCAATTACTGTATTGTGTATTGTTTTTCTTTATGGTCCAAATCTAAATAACCAGCCTATGTACAATACAGTAATGTACATTTACATTAAGTGGTTTGTAAGGACGGTAAATTAATACTGCACAAAAAGTGGTTGTTTTCCATGTTATTTGATCAAGAAAAACATTTAATTTGATGTGGATGTTTTGGGTCTTTGTCCATAACTTTGCACCTTTTTATGTAAATGTTTGAGGACAGGGTTTGGTTCTTTCTGGATTCCATTAGAATGACAATCACAGAGAAAGGGACAGGGCAACAACTCTTAAAATTCCAACTATTGAATCCTGCAAGATACTGTTCTTAATTATACAACTACCTTTTTTGCCAAAGCAGCTATGCTAAAAAATTTTTGTTGTTGGCTCAGCTACAGATTTCTATATCGGTCCGTTAATACAGGACTAGTAAAGGCCCAGTGCACTACCTTTGTGGAAAAAATATTATTTTCGAAAATACATATTTGTATTAATATATATTTTTTAATTCTGCTTTTTCAGGGAGTGCTGCAGCACCCTCAGCAACCTTACTTCCCGCTGCGATGTTATTCAATTAAGAATGTGATGGTTTATACAAGGAGGATATTGGTTTAATATTGGTTTATGCAGAGACTTCAAAACCATCTGCAAAAGTTAATTGTTAACAACGTCGAGGCTCGGGTTGTTACTAGTTACCACAGCCACAACGTCAAAATGAAAATACAAATTCATGAAAACAAAAATAATATTTTTGGTCTTGATTTAAGGTTAGGGTTAGGCTTAATGTTTGCAGTGTTGTTAAGGTTAGGGTGACGGTTAGGTTTAAAATCAGATTTTAAGAACAGAAATTGTAGAACTAGGCGGGGTTTAGCCATAACATTGTGGCTGTGGTAACTAGTGACGACCCTGTAGCAGCCAGGATTTCACAGATAGCATTAGCAACTTGTTATGAAATGAATACTCATACTACAAGCACACAGTATAATATCACTTTCCAGATTAGCTGTCAAATACACACGGCCAATGTGGGAAAATACAATTTAGACACAATAGACTCGACAACAGACAGCTCTCTATCCATCCTCAGTGAGCAGTTCAGGCGAGCTAACGTTAGCAAGCTAGCTAGCTATGTTCAAACAACGCAAACGACTGATTCGGCAAATCAGTTATTTATTAGAGCTTAGTCAGTTTCTATGAATGCTGCTTTATGGTTTTGATTGTGTTGTAACACATAACAGACAATATAATTACCGCTAAGTAAATCATGAGAAGAAGATTAAAAAAAAGAGGCGCTAGCATCAGGTTCAGAGTGTTCATAAGCTCTATTACTGAGCCGGAGGAATGGAGCTCCAGTGGCGCAATCGGTTAGCGCGCGGTACTTATATGACAGTACATTGTTGAGCGATGCCGAGGTTGTGAGTTCGAGCCTCACCTGGAGCATAATTTTTACTGCTGTTAGAGAGTGATAGGTATTAGCCGTTGAACTTGTGATAACATGGAATACATTAAGTAGCTACCTAAACTGACAATTCAGCAATGTAGGCAAAGAAGATATCAGGTAGGGACTTTCTTCTCTAACATATTTTTTGCCTAAACCTAGTACAGATATTACAATTTAGATAGAGTAGCCTATATCAAGATTTGTCATCTCATACTATTTCTTAGCTACATGGTATCATTAAACATATATTCCTGCTGTTTTATGTTGTGCTGATCCATGCACGTGCACAGGGGTCTTTGGGTACCTGATGATCACATTCACATCCATGCGTGCTTCGAAATGAAGTCATACAACAAAATAGCTATTATCCACACTCCCATTACCAGTTATTTTGCAGCACACCTCAATGTGTAGGCCTACTTACCTTGCCCTTTACCTCATATCAATACGCTAACTTCTATCTAATCATATCTCGATCTTTTCGGGGTAGCAATTTTCTAGTTATTCTCTTTTTGTGACATGATTTGGTGGGAGGA